AACAACTTTGAGACACAGTTCAGGATGAAATATATGAATCAGAAGTTGGGCATGCACGACATTAAGATCACCCTGTATTTTCCTCCTTTTACCACTCATGGCTACTCCATGAGTCAGAGGTTATTGGTTCTTGAAACTCTCATCATTCCAAGCTCCGAAGGGATTTACAGGGCTTTGGCAAAGGCACCGTCGTTCCCTCAGGTGGCTCCTCCAGGATATTACTTGTTGTCCGTTGTCAACCGTGGGGTTCCTAGCGAGGCAATGTGGGTGCATCTTCAGTAGGGCAAACATGGAGTTTTTTTTTTTTTTTTTCTTTGTAGTTTCTCATATCTAGAGAATCATGTTATTTTGAAGAACAAAAATGGTGTTGTTGTCGCACCCTTTGTTAGTCTTTGTAAAAGTTTAAGTATTTTAGTTCAAGCTTAATGATTAGTTTTTCAACTTCTTCACCACAACTATTATAAGCACGTGTTGAAGTTGGTGAATAATAGAGTTTGTAAGATTTTCACTTAAATTATTAATACTGATTATGACTGTAATAATACGATAATGTCATTTTTACTTTTGTAATTCTTCTTGAAAACACATATAATAAGTCTAACATTTTCTTATAATTTATTGTGATATATAAATTATGTTTATTTTCTTAGATGATAGCATTTTTCACACTAAATTTAAAATTACACAAAAATGAAAATAATAACTTATAATGCACTAGAGTCAAGTATGTATTCAAAGAATAACATAAATTACTTTAATCAAAATCCTATCAAAGTTAATATGATAAACTTAATCTCCAAAAGTTAAATGTCCAATCACTATTAAATTTAAAGTTCAATACCATAAATACAAAATTAAATATAAAATTATTAAAATAAATATAAAGCATATGGACATATATATTTTGACACAGTTGACTTAGTTCAACTAAAATAAATATAAAACTTTACATTAATTTATATATCATTTATCAAAGTTTAGATCTTATAATTTAGTCTTTGAAGTAAATGTATAATTTATTTCCAATAATTTTCCTACAGTTTAGTTCTTATAATAATTTAAAAAGTTTACTTATAAGATCCAAATCATAGTTTTAAACAAAATTTCAAGTTTTAAATCTTATTAGTTAATAGTGACAAACATATATTATTTCCTACAATTTAATCTTTATCAATTTCTTATAATTTAACTCCTATAAATTTAAACAATTTAAAGGACTAAAATAATTCACTCCTATAATTTTAAATAGTTTAAAATATTTACTCCTTGGAAATAAATTAAATTAATTCCTATATTTTAAACAATTTAATTAATATTTACTCTAAGCACAATTTTACAAAATTTAAAAGATTTACTTATACAAATTAAATTAATTTAGTTCATTTAATTTTAAAGAGTTTTAAATTTAAAAATTAAATAAAATAGTCATCTTTATTTTTCCAAACAAAAATCAAAATTTCAATATCAATGATAACCATCACTATCAATTTTATAGAGGTATTCACCTATTGTCTTCAGTTGAATTTTCAAAAATTAATCATGAATTCAATTTTAATAAACTGAATATATAGAACACTTTTCTTAATTACTTAAGGTTGAATACTTGCAAAGGAATATTTATTATTATGATAAGATGGAAATACTAACAGACACAAAATGAAGCATGAAGAAGAAACTCAAGAAATATAGCTGCAAGACTTCAATAATTAATTTTAATAAATTTAGGGTATAGAAAAATGTTAGCACTTCTTTATCATATCAATAATATGAGAGATTTTGCAGTGTCTTAGTTTGAGATGGGATTGTATACGAGAGATTTTGCACTGACTTAGTCAATTCTGCATTATTTGTTCTTGATAAAAGAAATCCCAATATGGAAAACCATAAATGAGTAATGATGCTTTCATATACACAAAAATTTTACATTAATTTGATATCATTATTTTTTTAAATTTTTTTAAAAAGTATAAAAATTTATTTTTTATGATTATTTTTATCTTGTAATACTTATCAAATAAATGGAAATACGTGTACTGTTATCTTTGTTCATTTAAACTTTAAGGTAATGTTTCTTTTAAAATAAAATAATGGTATAATAATACATTTTTATATTTATTTGACATACAATAAAAAAAGTAAAATGGTCATAAAATAATAAATTTTTGTCTTAAGAAAGAAAATAATAAAAGGTAATAATTTTTCTTTAGAAAAAGAAATTATGAATTGCAACTTCACCAGATAATATACTAAAAAACAAAAAGTGTTCTTAATCTTAAAAAAAGAGCACAAACAGTTCCTGAAAAAGAATATTTTCTTGTATCAGGTGTGCACGACCTTGGTGGTCACTCATCAATGGTAGCTGGATATAACTTTTCCTACCACCATTGCACTACACTTTGGCACGACATTTTTCTCCGCGTTCCAGCTAAGTCTGTTTTCTTTCTTTTGCTTTCATGTTCTCAATTCATCACAAAACAAAATTTCAAGTTCTGATCATCAAAATCAAAGTGCAGTGTTTTGTTTTACTGATTAAACTCCTTTACTGCATATTTGTTTTCAAATATAAACTTTACTATTATGATCCATTCATGATAACTGTCTAAAGTACTTAAACATGAGATACAAGAATATTGAATGTATGTATTAAAAGTTGAGTTTGATCTTTACATTAATAATTACAATCCAAAAGGACAGCTAATGTTGTCAAACTTATTTATGACAGCTGAGGTTAATTCTGTTGGAATTTTGACTATCTTATAAAATAACAATTTCAAAAACAAAATCCTAAGGGAAGGTCAAATATTTCTCAGAGAATGTGACATTGCTATTGCTATATAAAGACATCAAGAACCAGGAGACAATGCATTGGAGTTTTCACTTCTAAAACATCAAACATGTTCATGTCTGTTAACATGGCACAATTTGAAAAATTGTTGGTGGTTTTGTTCCTCTGTGCTGTGGCATCTAGCATAGTCATGGTAGATGCCACCTTCTCCAAAAGCATGTATATCACTTGGGGTTCTCAACATGCATCAATGCAGGGTGAAGATCTCCAGCTTGTGTTGGATAAAACCTCAGGTGAAAAAACTCTAGTGGTTTTGCAAAAGATTAACAACCAATACAAACAATGTTAAAAGAAGTTAATCACTCTATATTATCATCTTAATCTGAAATATTTGGTGTTGTATTTGAATTTCAGGATCTGCAGCTAAAACAAAGAAAGCATTCTTATTTGGAAGTATTGAATCACGAATCAAGTTGGTTCCTGGTAATTCTGCAGGAACAGTTACTGCATATTATGTAAGTTCAATGGTGCAGATTATGAAACACCTGATCTTTTCCTATTGAAAAAACATGTAGTGAATTTCAAATCAGTTAACTTCATCAAATTGCAGTGTTGACCAAATACTTGACACATAAATTTGTGCAGCTTTCATCTACAGGAAGCCAACATGATGAGATAGATTTTGAGTTCTTAGGCAACATTTCAGGACAACCATACATTGTCCATACAAACATATTCACACTAGGAAATGGAAGCAGGGAACAACAATTCTATCTCTGGTTTGATCCAACTGCTGATTTTCACAATTACACCATTCACTGGAACCCAGTTGAAGTTGTGTGAGTAGATAAACTATCAAAACTCTCCCAGCACTGAGTTAATTACATCATTTGTACAGGAACTATTCACTTTCAATTGTGTCATTACATGATCTATGTTATTTATTTGCTTGCTACCTCAGGTGGTACATTGATAGTATACCAATCAGGGTGTACCGTAACTATGAAAATGAGGGGGTTGCTTTCCCAAACAAGCAAGGAATGAAGGTTTATACCAGTCTATGGAATGCAGATGATTGGGCAACAAGAGGTGGACTTGTTAAGACCAATTGGAATGGTGCACCATTCATAGCTAGATTGAATCATTTTAGAGCAAGGGCTTGCAAGTGGAATGGAGCAATCAGCATCAACCAATGTTCCTCAAATATCCCTGCCAATTGGTGGACTTCTCCCACATACAAGCAACTGAGTTATGCTCAACAGGGTCAGCTGAATTGGGTCAGAAACAATTACATGATCTATGATTATTGCAGAGATACCAAAAGGTTCCATGGACAGATGCCTCCTGAATGCTTCAAGTCACAATTCTAAACACCAGAGAGACTTGCAAGATCAAAAATGCTTTTTTTCATTCAATTATTGCTTTTGTTTTTGTTCCATTTGTATGTGTTTCAATCTGTGATTCCCTTCTGGATTTTGTACTGCAAATCAGCATCATATTCATTCCATGTCATTGGTACTTAGTCACACACCAATATTAATAAAGAGTAAATTAATAATTTACCACTTCTGGAAGAAATTTGTACTGTTGCCAATGATTTTACTGATACATTTATCTAAAAGCTTACTAGGTTGACTATCATGTCTATAGAGGCTTTCATTATCATAGTATAATAATATATAAGGGATGTCACACTCCATAATTGTGTCAATATCTTCAAATAATCACAAACTCAAATCAGAATAATGCAAACAAAAAGATGTTGGCTCTGCAGCAAAACATGACACATTCACATCTCAAGGTAATAAAGCAGAGTAATCATCGTTTAATCTGTACAATTTTGCTAATAAAAAAATAAAGAAACTCTACAAAGAAAACTGTAAGCAAGATAGTCATTGTTTTATCTCTTCTATTTTAATGTAATTTTTTATTTTTAAATTAGTTTTTACTTAAAAAAAACTATTAATTAAAAATCAAAGTTAACTTAATTTTTTTACTGAACACGTAATAAAAATGATTGAAAAACTAATTTTGTTATGATTACATATTTTATTTTGATTTTTTATGTATTTTAAAGCTTACAAAAATAAGAAATTTAAACTTTTAATTAAGTATATTGGATTTAAAAATATGGGCTGGAGGAAATGAGAAGGAAATAGGATGAAGAGGTGGAAAGACAAAAATACCCTGTAGTGCGTATTTGTTTGTTCTGTTCTCCACCAGTGATTTCGTTTGGTTTGGTTTTGGGTGTTGCTGCTTTGGGATCCAAGCGTGCCTTTGTTTGTATTGTTGTAGCAGCAGCCGTCGATAGGGTTAAGGCCATGGAGCGCATCATTGGCGCCAAGTACAAGCTAGGTCGCAAGATCGGAAGCGGATCCTTCGGCGAAATCTACCTCGGTTTCTCTCTCACTCGATTTTTCATCACGAATCTCGTTTCCTAATTATTATTGTTGCAATTGTTGTTGATGATGTTAATATTATTGGGTTCTGATTGCGATTCAATTCAATTACGCAGCGACGCATATTGATACCTTCGAAATCGTGGCGGTCAAGATCGTACGCTGCTTTCTACTCCTGCTCTTTTGTTTAATTTGAAGTCCTGTTGTTTCTGCTCAATTCGCTTGTTATTGGATGCGTTATTTCGTGTTTGAGGTTTAGGTTCGATTCTGTTAAAAAAAATTGTTCGGTATTGCAGGAGAACAGTAAAACGAAGCATCCGCAATTGCTTTACGAGGCCAAGCTCTACAATATTCTACAGGGAGGAAGTATGTTTTTTCTTGATTGCTTTAAGCGATTTGACTTAATTTTTATTGTCCGTATGGTGCATGTGTGTGAGGTCGAGGGTTTTACTGTGAGGAAGATGGTGAGGTTTGGAAGTTTTACATTTGTTTCATCCAGGTGGCATCCCGAGCATAAAATGGTGTGGTGTCGACGGAGAGGACAATGTGCTTGTTATGGATTTGCTGGGACCTAGTCTTGAGGATCTGTTTGTTTACTGTGGAAGAAAGTTTTCCCTCAAAACCGTGTTGATGTTAGCTGATCAAATGGTAACCGGCCATCTCTTTAAACTATTATTGTTGGACATATGGATTACTGTGTCGTTTGCTAGTTGTCCATGGGTTCATCTCAAAGGACAGCAAAACCTGTTTTTACAGCCTTGTTCTGTTATTTAGTCTCTTAGAAAAAAGAAATTGCCGTCGGTGGCACTGTGTTGTAAGTTTTTGTGCGTCGTGATACTAGGTTGGTGAAGTGAGCATTTGATGTTGAATTTGCTTTTCTTTTTTAATTTTGTGCAGATGACTAGAATCGAATATGTGCATTCTAAAGGATTCCTACACAGGGATATAAAACCTGACAACTTTCTCATGGGACTTGGTCGTAAGGCAAACCAGGTGACTAGCATGTCATGTTAAAGTTTTCATTCATTTGTGGTTGACTTGCACTGTTATTCCTTCAGTTATCTGTTGGCATCAACTGAAGAGTATTCACGTTGTACTTGTCAGGTTTACATAATTGATTTTGGGCTTGCAAAACGATATAGGGACTCCTCAACTAATCGCCACATTCCTTACAGGTCACTAACTTTATACTATAGTATTCTGTTGAATTAGTTTTCTTTCCTTTTTCTTTAGTGTGTGATGTTTGAGTCATGTAATTTTCGTCCTGTCTTCTACTTGCATATCCAAGTGATTTCTTAGTAATTTTTCATGAATAAAACTTAAGATTTTTAAGAGTATTTCTTTGTTTGTTTATTCTCTTCTTTTCCCTGATAAATATGCCAGAATTAATGCTAACAAATTGTACTGAACAGGGAAAACAAAAACTTAACAGGGACTGCTCGCTATGCAAGTTGCAATACTCATCTTGGGATTGGTAAGTCGGAAAAGGTTATTTAAGCTCTTCACTGCGCATAAAATGCAAATTTTACTTATGTTCAATTTGTATTTTATTTTGTAGAGCAAAGTCGACGGGATGATTTGGAGTCACTTGGGTATGTGCTTCTGTATTTTCTCAGAGGAAGGTAGACATTCTTCTCATGATACTTTTCTTCCACAAACATTTATCTATTGAGAGCAGTACAATGAAATGTGTTAACTTTAAATAACTTAACTTTTGTGTTTAGCCTTCCTTGGCAAAACCTAAAGGCTGCAACAAAGAAGCAAAAGTATGATAAAATCTGTGAGAAGAAAGTAGCAACTCCTATTGAGGTTAGTATTTGGATATTTTGGACATTTATCGATGTGAAGTGTCATGATTCTTATTTGTCTGTTATTTCCCACAGGTTTTATGCAAATCTCATCCCGTAGAGTTTGCTTCATACTTTCATTATTGTCACTCTCTGACCTTTGATCAGCGACCTGATTATGGATTCTTGAAGCGCCTGTTTCGGGATCTATTTGCACGTGAAGGTGATTATTTTGAAGATTTCTTGAATAATATTGAATCATACTTGGAGGATTGTGTTTATATTCCTTTGGAATAGCATCTTTAGGCATGGAAGATATTAATATAACTACTAATTGAGATTCAACATGTCCTTTAAATATATCAAAAGAAAGGAAGTGAGTTTTTAAAATAAAAAGGAAAAAAAAGGCAATATAGATGCTATCTGTAACTCTGCAATCTTTATGTTATACACACATACTTAGTGTGAAGCACTAAGCAACATCATTCGTGTCCAATAATTTGTCTTTGTTTTCTATCTACAGTTATGTAACTTATCCTTATTGGTATGTGCAGGTTATGATTTTGATTATGTATTTGATTGGACTATTTTAAAGTACCAGCAGGCACAAAAGAATAGGGCCCAACCTCGCATGTCTGTAAGTATATTTACCTTACGTGTATAGGGGTTTGAGTGCGCCCGTGCTTATAATACTGTTTTGTCATATTACAGACGGTCCCTGGAGCAAGCAGCAGTCCTGTAGTGCCAATGGATGTGGACAACAATCGAGGTTGGTTCATCTGAAATAAGTTATATAACTTTGTGATTCTGCTTAAACATGTCTTGTTCATTATCACTTATTGACCTGCATTAATGCTTATTCAGGGGATGTCTCAGCAGAACGAATTAAATCAGGCAATGTAACTGGTTCCGGTGTTAAAATTCAGTTTAAATCACCTGGTTTAAAAAATCTGGGTTCTGAAAAGCCTCTTGACAAGAATGTAAGTCATCTTTGAATAAATATTTATGAATTTTGCTATGATCGTCTTAGAACACTTAAGAGACAATTCATTAGTTGCAGTTGCAGGCTATTATGTTTCAATATGGAAGAGATCAGTTTTTAACATTTAACAGGCATGATTTAATTATTTTGTTCATTTACTTGTAGATTTTTGGTGAAGCAAATATACCCTCTACCTCATACTCTCTTGCTGGCACCTCAAAAAGGAACTCTTTGAAGCCTGCCTTGTCCACTGAAGCTGCAAACATAGTAAACGGGCAAGGAAGTAATAAAATTGGCCCTTCAAGTAGCTGGATTTCATCTGTTCAGCGCATGTCTTCTGCCAAATGAAAACGGATATGGTAATTTATGGTTCGTAATAAATGTGTTGCAGCGAGTGTTATTATCACTGTGCCCCAATCTATCGCTGACTTCCTGTTATGCTGTTTCCCAGGTTTGGTTCTGATATAGAAGATTCCCGTACACATTTATGAAGCTGCAAAAATTCATGATATTTGCTTGCTTCAACCTTACATTTTTGGTCAAGAATTTTCAAGTGATCTATCCAGGAGACTGCAAATGTGCTGCCAGGATGATAAATTTCAACGCTAGTCATCTTCTGAGACCATCTGTGTTACTTTTTTTCCTAAGGTGACTGCAAATGATTGTTTGGTATAAATTACAGACTACCCAGGCTTGGCTGCTTTGATGTAGATAGAATTCAAATGTGACACGCAGCAATCTTGTGTATCCATGTTTTTATGTAAAATTAATGCGTGAATGTAGCCTTGTTTCCCCTTTTTTTACTTGATGATAATTATCATTTGGCCATATGATATATAAATACATATATATATGGTGCACAGTTTCGTTTAAATTGATTGATGATATTATGAATTGTAGTATATTTTCAGGTGGGTCTGATAAGATATATTTGATTTTTAGTTTTTGGCTTTTGTTAGCCATTAATTTTTAGCTGAGTTTTTCTCAAATATTTATCAACTATTTTGGTGTTCTGACTTCTTCTATCACTGTCAGATCATTTGCCTCCGATGATGGTAAGTTGCTATTCCTGTCAAAGTGATCATGTTTTAAGAGAATCTAACTATCAAATCAGAGGCATAATCATTGCAGAATGATTCCTGAAATAATGATTTCTTAACAGAAACCAAAGGTAGTTTTTGGTAGCAGTTACTACCTAATACTTCCAACTTGTAGTTTTATGTTAGTCTGAGATTACTAATTTCTAAGATCTGTATTTCATCATTGGTTTTTTCCATTTTAGTCTAAATCTGGATGCTATTCAAGAAAAATCTCCAGTGGACCTGTCACTGTCAAATTTTGAATTTTATTCAATTATCCATGGTTGATAAACAACGATTTGCTCTTTTAGATTACCTCTTTTCATATTTCTTATTTTTCAAAATTTTATTTATGTTGCTCAAAAAGCACTTTTTTACTTGTAGGTGTAGCTTGAATTTGACGGTCAGCCAGATTAACTATAGTCATTCTTGGGATGAATGAAATCTGGTTGTGTCAATGTAGTTCAAGGTTCGGATTGCTGTATTTTTTTTAGTGCATGATAGAACTAATTGCATGAGCAGCTTAATTATCAATCAGTTCACACTTTCTCTTTTGCAGGATTTCTTTTTTCAACCTATATTGTCTGAAGGGTGAGATATGAGTGACAATTGGTTTTATACGGATGTCATTGTCAACGGGAACATACCTATTCGTACATAGCACTTTGGGGAAGTACTTGTGACAAGCTTGACAATTGATTTTGATGTTGTTTGTGATATGGATGTTGGTTAAGATTTTCGAAGGTCTATGAGTTTATTCTTGCTGGTTATAAGTAGGCCTCTTAAATCGAAATATATGCATAGAAAGGAAGATCATTTTCGTAGAGTGAGAAATACATGCATAGAAACGAAGTTTAATTCCTTGTGTAAGTTATTTCAGTTAAAGACATTTTTAACGTTTGTAGATATTCTCTTAGAAGCAAAGTTTGAAGTAACTGACTATTGATTGGTCTCTTCTAATAACTCTTTGCTAAATGAAACTTGCATTTTTATATTTAGATTATATTAACTGTTTGTAATTCAAATATCTCCATTTGGACATCTTGACCAATCATGACCGTTACATAAATTTTTTAAGATGAATTTCTTAATTTTATCTTTCACTATGGATCCAGGAAACTTTAATATTTTAATTAAGTAAACTAATGAAAAAAATTTAAGTTTTAAGGATAACTTTTTCCTCTCCTTTATCTCATTTTCAACAAAATTTATAGTTATTTTTGTCAAGTTTTTTTTTTAAAAAAAATCAGTTTTTTTTTGAAGGAAAAAAAACTGCAATTATGTAATTTTCTTAATTTTACTATTTTTATTGTGTAATTAAAAAAAATAAATTCTTGTTTTGAAGTAATTATTTGGTACAAGGCATGATTAGTTAATTAGGTAATAAAATGCAAACACAGAAATTCTTGTCTCAACTATTTTTACTGCAGAATACTAAGATGGAGATCTATTTTTAAAGCGTGCATAAAAGATAGATATATATATATATATATATATATATATATATATATATATATAAAAGTGGTTTAACGTATATCAATTTTTTTATTTATGATAAAGATCTAAACATGTGAGATACCAAATTAAAATGTAATGGTTGGTAAACTTAATGTTAAAATTGGGAAATGGGTAACAGTTTAATCTAAGGGATTAAATGAAAAATAATATTGTTATCATTCACAATTTAAATGTGTTAAAAAGTTTTGTCTTGGTTTCACCCTAAATGAGGCTAGAGACTCATTCAAGCTAGATTTAAAAGAAATAAAAAAATTAAAATAATTTAAAGTTATTAATAAAATACTTATTTTTTTAAAATTTAGTAAAATATAAATTAATTTCAACTTTTAGATGTAATAATTTAATATGTATATATGTTTTAATAAAATAATATCATTTTTAAGTTTTTTAAATTATAATTATTATTTTTGAAGATAGATTAATCCAACCTAAAATTTGGCCATTTCAATTTAGGTTTGTATTATTTAACTTTGACTAATTCCATTATTCTTAGTATTAGGATCCCCTTGTTAAACCTGTTTTTTTAATTCTAATTTAGACAAACATATGTATAACGACATTGATTAATTGTCACAAAATTAAAAAAAAAAAAAATCTTGTGAGCTGAAGATAATATCTTAAAAGAATGTTGAAAAATTAACATTCTTTAAATATCTAAACGTTCCTCTTAAGTGTACATCTTTTAAGCTTGTGAGAATTTTCACATGTTATAACTATTAATAGATCTCAATGTGAATTATAATACAATATATTTGCTAGACCGTGTTTAGTTTTAAACCATTTACATGTATTTTCTAGAATCAAAGTAAACTATTGGAAATATTGGTGCATGATAAAGAATGAAAAAGTCAAAACTATTAATATTGTCTTTCAGTATATATTTCTCGTTGTGATCCAGAACATTTTTTCGCATGAAGATCTTGTTGGGATTATTAAAGTAATTATTCACACAAATTCTTAACTGTTCATGATGAAATTTTTGTGTTAACTTTCTGAGAAAAGGAGAGATACAAAGCTGAAATAACCAACTGAAAAATTATGAAGCTCAATATTTTATAAGTGTTAGATTCAAAGACATGAGAAATAGTGCACAAGTCACATTTCAACAAGTAAAAAAATGGTTGAGGCCATCATATGAGAAGAACTGAAATTCTTAACCTCATTTAAGCACTTAACTGATACTGATTTATCTTGTTCAAAACCTTAAGAACTCTCACTACTTCATTCAGCACAGTTGCTGGATCAGTAGTTTCAAGTCCAACCATTGCAGCCAATACTTCAACTTTCTCCTTTGTTTTTCCATCTTGCAGCAACTCCTCCAAACTCACTTCTTCATCTGATTCATCACCACATGCCTCATTGCATGAATCTGTGTCTGACTTGGCATAAGAAAGGTCCTCAAGAACATCACAATAGCCAGATGAATCTTCAGTTGGTGTGAAGGAATTGGAATTGTTTAGCTCATTGAATTCAATGGTAGAAAACATGGGGCAGAAACTGAAGAGGGTGTGATTATTTGGTGTGAAGAGGGTGAAGGAAAAAAATGATGAAGTGAAGAGTTCTTTCTCTCCAAAGGGTACCTTTGAGCTTTGTCTGCCATGATTCATTGTTGATGCTGAGGAGTAACACTTGAAAGAACAAAGGAAGTTGATATATAAGTAAATCAGTGCATGCCCTTTGGCCAAATGAAGAAAACCAAGAGGGTAAAAGTAATAAGGTGATTATGGACCAAAGAAAGAAATCAAGGTAATTATGGCCATAATTCAATTGGACCCTGATTTTAGAAATCTGAGTAAGGCCTAATACTTTTAATATTTTTTGGTTAACTATGTATGGTCCCATCTTCTGCACACTGCTGTTTTACTATATAGTATATTTGACTTCTGTAGTTTTGCAGAACATGTTATATTCCCTTTTGGTACTTCATATTTGATTAACATCTATAATCTGAAGTTCCACTGAACCACTCCTTTCTCTTTAACACACATGCTTGTTCAGGCAAGAATGCTTGTTGAGGCATTTAACTCACACTTACAAACAGACACAATTGAGTACATTCATGATTGATGAAACTGGTTGAGTATAGGTTTAAAGATAAAGGTGATTATTCTGTGGGTGTGTTATGATTGATTAAGGGTGTTTATAAACATGTTCAAATGCCATTGAACAGTAATCTTGCAAATTTCTTCAATCATGTCAATTTTCTTAGAATGTGAGGAATGGAGATTGAAATGGTTGAATAAATGTGAATGGACATTGTAAAGGAGGAAGAGGAATAATGAGTGGCTAAAGCAGAGGCATGAGTGGGAATCAAACCTGTCCTTTTCTGTGCAGCACTTAAAGAATGATGTATACTACTAACTAGGAAGGTAAAACTTCACTTCACACTGATTCAATATCATTGCTTTCTCTCATTCACTTCAACCACTAAATCTTATCACAATTCAAGTCCACTCTCACTCTCCATATCAAATTTGGCTATCTTTCATATCCAAACTTGTTCAATCAAGTTTGTTCCTAAATATATTTTAACTACATAATAAACAGAGTACCATGTATGTGCAAAATGGTTTTACCTACCATTTAATTGCAGTTCATCATTGATATGATTTTAATATTACTCATAAAAGTCAACAAAATAGATTGTGATTAGCTATGTAACTTTTCTTTCTGATAAATAATGCTAACAGAAGGTGGATTGATAATACTTTTTGTTTCTGTATCTGAATAATCTTATATTATTTGAGTTTAAGAATCCTGATTAATAATGCCATAAGAGGATGTGTTGATAACTCTTTATCTTTTGGTATCTTAATAGTTTCACATTATTTAAAAATAAAAATCAAGAACAATTTAAATGGATTTTCCTCTTTTAATCCTTAAATATGTCTTAAGATAAAATCAGTTATCACCAAAATAATTGAAACTGTATTAAAGCAAAAAGACATAAAGGATCATTTGTATAGAGTCATTATTCAGTTATCTATGAATAAAAAATGGACTTGCATGATATACAATTTCAAAAAAAAAACATTTTTATTGAATTTTTTCAAGATTTTGAAAATATAAGAGATAAAAAATGTTATAAGAAGCTTGTTGTTTTAGTTTATTCATGCATTATGCACTTTATATATAAAACAAAAATGTGAAAGAATATTAATTATTTACAATATCTCAATCTTAAATTCCTAAACATAAATAATAAATAAATATATTTTTATCTTCGTATAAAAGATGTTTTTAAAGAATGAAAGATTTCCAAAAAAACTAAATTAAATAAAAAAATATTAAACAAATATTCTCCTCGCCCCAAATTTTGAGCAAGTCTCAAAATTGCCATGATGACTCATAAAAACTACTCCAGCTCCCTGCTGAAGTCAATATTATCTACAAAAACCTGTACATAAGAGGTGATAAAAACAAGTTAGTCACAAATGTTTCACTATAAGAAGTAATGATTTAATATACCCTTTTAGTTCATTATCTTTTTTCTTTTAGTTTTTTGTCCTTAGGTTTAAGAATTTCCATTTTAACTCCCTTAAAGTGTCATACTAATGGTATTAGTTAGGGTGAACTACTTGTGGTATACTGATGAAAAAGCTAATTTGGTCTAACAGAGAAACTTTATGGAACCAATGTGAAAACTTTCCAAACTTGAGACTAAACTAAAACCAAGTATAAGGAGGGACCAAAAGCGTATTTTAATAAAAATGATGAATAGACAACAGATTGGAAGTAGTGAGGAAAATGTCCACAGAACCATACAGTTTTCCAACCATCTGGATCCTCACATGATGTGATCTTTGTCTTTATGTCAGGTATTGGTCCAGGTTCCCGAGTAATCTTCCCTCCTGCAAGTTTAATTGCTTCGGCAGTTTTGTACACATCATCTGTAGCAATTGCAATCTGTGAACATAAAGAAACTGTTAACAAAGAAACACATGGTAGCAAGCATTTCAATGAAAAAATTCATATGAAAACTCAGCCATATCTTTACATCAGAAAACAAAAGGCAAAATTGAAAGAATGAATACTACTTAGCAGATTCGAATGAAAAATACTAGGAACTTCTGCTTACCTGAGCATAAGCATCTCCTTTATCATATTTCGTGACTCCATAGTTGTAAGTCAACTCCAGGACAGTACATTTTTCCTCTGGACCATATCCCAGTATTGCTATTGTGTTCTACCAAAAAGGGAAGAAAATTTTATACAATCACATGCCAATGCATCAAACAAGCCATGGGAACAATTTTTAGGCCAACAAAGCAAGCAAGATTGAACCAACTGGCAAAACTGGCTTAAACCTCAAAAGACTAATGGATGATACATGTATTTCAAGAGAAACATAAATCTGAAAGCATATGCTAGTTAAAATATATAGAATCTTTCCAAAAATATGAGGGAATAAATTGAAAGCAGGATTATAATTTATAGGCCATACGGGTGCATGTCCATAATCACATTGGATGATGATTCTTAATGTTGGTGTCTGTCTTTTGGACAATTGTAAGCTCACAAAAAAAGGGCTTGCTAACCTTCACAGGTGATTTTAAGGACAATTACGTACATAGAAGGTTTCAGTGACATCTAAAACCATATAGATACAGATGGATTGTATGGGAAGCAGAAACAAAAGGAATCATTGGTTTAACGTTGGTATTCTTGTTTTGTATTTAAAACATAGATAGAAACTTATGGAATCATAAATCGATAAAAGAAGAAAAAAGATGCTGTATACAACTTTTATGCTAAGGCACAAGTTATTCAACAAACCTCTGATAGCCCCAGGGAAAAAGAGAAAAAATTTCACCACCAACTACATGATAACCACAATCTTAATTATATCAAGTTGATAGCTGCACACTCAGATACATGATTTCACACAATAAAATACACAAACAGTCATTTGGTTGGACACATACGCAGAATTCTTCCATTCTAAATAAGTTGATTGAGGATAGTGCTGAACTGAACATATTTTTGCACACCACCAAACAATAGGCCACAAGTACAGCATGCTTTATTAGAATTGGGTTTTGAAAACACACACCAAAATGCCATAGCTCATACAATCGCAATGTCACTTTTAACTTTTCGTGGTACAACCCCAGAAAGAGATCATTGCACCTTAAAGAATAGATCAGAAAGGGATTTTGTCCCTCATGCCCTGAAGATTAACTTTCCACCCAGATAAAATGGTATCAGAAACAAAGACAGCAGGGCCCCCACAATGGGATATAAACCCTGAATTCTTGCTTATCTATTATGTTTTAGTTTAAAGTGCTGAGCATACACAACATACATTAAAAATCTCAGTTCCAAATATCTGTAACAGAATGAGTATCAAGGGCACCTTGGATTCTGGATCATCCTGTGTTCGAAGTAGCTCCATACCAAAAGCCTGAGCAGCAAGTAATCACAAATGAATAAATGTTTTGTATAGAAAATAAGAACACAGCAAACCAACGTAAAATTGCATTGACCTTCACCTTCTCATAAAATTTGATGGAACGGTCAAGATCACAAACTCGAAGCATTACTTTGCACAAAGGCTCGGGAGAGGGAGCCCTTTCTAAAAGTTCAAATTGATAACCATCAGGATCTTCAATAAATGCATTTACTGAGTTGCCTCCCTTGACAAGCATAGGCTCTCTAGTAATTTTTCCACCCTTAGCTCTGACAAGTTCCACTATTCTTGAGATCTAATAAATAATTATAAAGACTAGATAATTCTATATTATACATTGATTGGAAAGAACATAGAAATCCCAAGTAATAACCACAACTGAATCTTCATGCCCACAATAATAACAACAAAGTGACACATTTGGAATAGTTCACAAAAACATATTTTTTTACTAGTGAAGAATGTTTACAAATCATAGCAACAAGTTTGGCAAACTCACATCATCAACAGCAAGACCAAAATGACCAAATCCATCTCCAATGTCATACTTGTCAATCCCATAATCTGGAACATGTTAAAGGAAAAGCAACATTAGCAAAAGGGTTTCCACTATTCAATAATGTAAAATAAATTTCAGAAAATGCAAAGTTCTGCAATTATCAGGAATCCCAACTGCTCTTACTGTATGTGAGTTCAACAGCAAAGTGTGCATCCTCAGGCCCATATCCAAGAAAGGCATTAGTATGTCTCTGCTCTTGCATGTCACGCTGTCTGAGCAACTTCATTCCCAGGCACTCTGTATAAAATCTGAAATCTCGACAAGAAGTTTGTCTTTCCCATGAGAATGACGAATGTAGAAAATTATATAGATCGTTAGGTTCTAACTACGTAATCTTGGACATACTTTATGGTCTTGTCCAAGTCCCCAACACGATACACAACATGAAGCATTCTTCTCTTGTCATGTTTGACCCAATCCAGGGCATTTTCTGGTGCAGCAATTGAGGACGTGTTCCCAGATGCCTTCGCCCTCATGCAGTTATCATCATCATGCCTCAAAAACTTAGAAGGTTTCAGGCCAAAATCATGAAACCGTCTAATACCTACATAAAAACAATCCAAGAACAATCTCAGTTGATAAAAATCACACACACAACCTCATCGTGCAAGAGTGTTAATTCTTGTTAAAAACATGTGACAAGAACATACCAAATGCAACATTAATGCAAACAAGCACGATTTAATAATAAAAATAGGAAAAAATTAAATCCCTTTTAAATTGGGTATAAAATATTTGATTGATCACATGGTAGAGGAAAAAGATGGCATCTTTGGGGACTATTTGCAAAAGGGTCAAAGACATAAAGAGAGATGGTTATGGCTTACCGCTACCCAGATGAAAAAGAGAGAACTTTTGAGAAGGGTTGCAAGAAGAAAGGGAGGGTAACATGAAGGAAGAAATTGAGGGACGAAAGGAAGAAGCCATGGCAAGAAAACAGAGTGAAGTGAAGGTAGAAAAACAAAAGAATAATATTAGGCTAATGAAAGGGATTACAATGAGAGAAATGGTATATCACACCTAAAGTTCTAGAGAAAAATAAATGGTATATAATATATAAACTAGTATCACAAATATTATATTAAACAAGTATCATAAATATTATAAATAATTAATTTAGTTTTAAAAATTAAAAAATTGAAATAACTGATGATTTAAAATAATAAAATAATATATTTATTTTAATTTAAAAAATATTTAAATTTAAATTAATGGTTTAAAATTAAAACAAAATTATTTCAACTTAAAATAATATTTTTTAGAGAATAAATTAAGAAAAATAGTTATAATATAACTCTTAATTTTTTTTTATGGTTTGATTATTTGTTTATTTAAAAATACATATTTAAGTTCTTACATATATTATTTAAAATTTCATTTAATTCTTAGAAACTAAATTATTTTGATTATGAATAATATATATATATATATATATATATATATATATATATATAATCTATAAAAAATAAGTAGGTGTAAGAGTAAATTGTAAGTATTTTTAAGTAACGTTTATATGTAGTAAAATATTTTTTTATTGGTTACTTAAATATCTCTTACATGATATTTCACACAATGTCATCAAGCAATTAAGAAAAAAAAAATATTAGTGTAGTTTTTTTAAATAAGTAAGAAAATTCATATTAGAAGTAAAAATAATATAAAATTATTCAAACAATTAAAAAACATTTTCTTAAAATAATTACAAGAGGTCTAGAAGTAAAACAGAAAAGGTGAGACTTGTATTTACAAAATTTTAAGAAAATCTAGAGTTAGTAATCTAATTCGTTCTATATAATTTAGGAAATGTCGTACGGACAAATAAAAAGGAAGACTCTCTCATGAAGATCTCAAGTTTTTCATTATATTCTCTTGTGTCATAAGACTTTTTTAACAATAAATAAATGCAAAAATGAAAATTAAAAAATTACTTGATATATATAACTAAAAAATTACAAATTAAGTCTAGCCACTAATATATATTAAGTAATTTTTAAGTATATATATATATATATATATATATATATATATATATATATATATATATATATATATATATATATATATATATATATTAAGTAATAATCAACATGATCATCACAACTAAAAAATCAGTTACAACAAAAAATTGAACAACCTAACTATTTATTTAGCACCTAATACATACTAAATATGTATTGATTTACTAACCAAACAAACTTAATTTTGGCAATTAACTCAAATTTCTAACCTTTGCTATATTCCTATCTTATTTCTGGTCAATCAATAATGGCAACAACAAAACACCAAAAATAAAATAAATAAAGTGGTAGGTGGCTTCTACTTTAAACCACGCTATATTAATTATAAGATCTATCTACTACATTATTTTTGTTTTCTTTTAAATCAATATACCTTGTCACTTGATATATATATATATATCACATCTCTCATGAAGATATTTATATTTCTTATGAAAAATATTCGAATCAAATTTATTAATATTCTGGCTGAAATCATGAGTTAATGAACTCAACTTGCAAAATCCTAATCACCATAATGAGTGAACTGAATTTAGAGTTTTCTTAAAATGTGGAAAAATATAAATATTTCATTATTATTTGAAAATTGATGGTTAATAATTATTATGTATAATTCCATAATCCTCCAAAATCTAAAGCCAATAAATAATAGGCAAACACGTTTTCATGTGATGTTTTTTCTTTTCTTTGATATTTATTAAAACGTCATTACAAAAATATAAAATTATCAATATATATCAATATCTAATTTAATAAGTTTTTTGTGTTGAATTGATTAAAAAAGACATCTGATTGACCCACCTACTCAATACTGGTATATGTTTGTTATAAAATATGAAAAAAAGAAAAAAGAAAAACATGTGAATATATCAAATGGGATCCAACGTAAGAATCACACTGGCAATTCCAACGTTAAAAATTTGCTATTTTTTTTTCTTAAAAAATATATTATCCTTTAAAGCATTTTCTCTATTACAGTCTCAATCTTCCACTGATACACAGAGAGATGCAGACTTGACCTAGGGTTTTGATCATCCATCTTCCCGATTTCGGGTATATATATACTTCTTCCCCTTATACCATCACTTTCTTTGTTTTTTCAATGATTGGCATGTGAACCCTATTTTCCTTGATTCTAATTTGCTTTGATGGTTCTTCGTCCTCTCCCACGTGCATCTACAGAGCAAGCTTTGGATCTTCGATTGGAGCCTTACCCATTTTTTCTTATCCTTCAAGCAACGCTTTGGGGTATCAAAGGTTCCAAATTGAGGGGGGAAAAGGCACTCTCTTGTAGCTGCTGATTTGGCCTATGGCTTTTGGCTTCTTCAGATTGGGGGATCAGAAGCAAGAATTCCACACCCCTTGGGAGAGTATGAGAGAGAGGGAAGATTTGGATCACGAGTAAGGTGAGGTCTTTCACTTGATTCACATCATTGCTTGCAGTAAATTTGACTGAATATGTGTTTTTTATTCTGATTTGAAAATTTGTTATTCTTATAATCTGCTGTAGATTTTGAAGTTCTATTTGAGAGTGTTTGGTTTTGGTGTTTTTTTTTTTAATTATTTGTTTATTGGACGGTGAAGTACCTTAAATGGTGTATGATGCTTCAAAGGGGTCTTTAGCTTCCCCATTTTTTTTAATGATATCTGTCCCATCTTTGGTCATATAGATAGGAATAAGTTTTTTGTTATTATGTTTCCTTTCTTAAAGTGAAAGGATAAAACATAGATATAGTTCTTTAGGTGTTGTTTGTGCTGTTCTCCAATCAGAATTTGATTTTCATCTTAATATACCACCTAATCGTTTCATGTATGATGTGGATTATTGAGGTGAAATTTCAATTTTAATCAGAGAACAATACAAACAGTGCTTAAGGAACGGTATCTAAGCTTTATCCTTAGTGAAAACCATGATTATGTTAATAATTTTCACTACATCAACCTGTTATATGCCATTGGTAATGTTTGTTTTGTTTGATTTCGAACTAAAATTGCATATATTTATTAAACCTGCGTTGTGCCATTGATAATTGCTTGCCATGTTTGACTTCAAACTTAAATGCAGATATTTGAGGACGGTTGCTTGTGGTGAAAAGGTGTGCGTGATCCGATGAATTATTATGGAAAATACAACGTGAAGCTGTTTGATCTGTTTTGATTTTGATAGGCTTGGATATTAGAATATGGAGGATGAGAGTGGGCTTGAGCTCAGCCTGGGTTTGTCTTGTGGTGGCTCGTCTGCCAAACCCAAAGGTAAGAATGGTAGCTCCTCAGATAGTAGGGCTGAAGAAGTTGGTAGAGGTGGCAAGATGGTGGATGACTTTAAGAGCATGTTTGATAATGCTCCTCAGAAGCCTGAATCTATTAGTGGGACGCGGAGAACTGATTCCCCAAAGCCTGAGGAGAACTTCTTTAGTGACCTTTCAAAGGCCAAAGAAGAGAATGCTTCTTTGAATTTAAATGGAAGAGGATTTCTGGTAGCAAAGAATAGTAAACCTCTTGAAATTGAGGATGAAAAACGGTCAGAGGCAGCAAATAAGCGGAAAATGCCTTTTGATGAGATACATAGTCAAAAGAAGCATGACAGTGATGTCCACCACCCTGATTTACATGACAGGGCTAGAACATCTCATATATCTATAACAGAGGACGGTTCAACTGCAGAAAATGAAGATGTGGCTGACTCTGAAACTGAGAACTCCACCTCCAGGCCCATCTCACACCACAGTGATGGTTCCAAAGGATTCATCAGAGTTGGTTCTTCTTCTGATGCAGCAAAAGAGGTTCGTGGAAGTGCTGACTCAAATGCTGCTGACTTTAACGGGCAGAAGAGGTTTAATGGGTCATCAGAAAAAGATTTTAAGCACACAAACATGAATTACGGTGCTTCCTTTTCTGTTCAACCTGTAAATATGATGAATGTATCTTACCCTTCTTCAGTACAAGAGTCTAGCCCTGTTGGGGCACCAGGCCCTCAGATACATGGAGTGATGCATGTAATGCCTGCTGCAACTGGTGAACGTGCAGGAACCCAACCAGTGAATAATGGGAACCTGCCGGTGATGTTTGGATATCCGCCTGTTCAGCTTCCCTTGTTGGAGGACCAACCATGGGGTTTGGTTTCTCGTCCTCAACAATTACACCCTTATGTTGGCAGGGGTCCAACTAACCCAGGTACTCTTTATATGAATCGAACATATTGGTAAAATCTTTCTAATTCAAACCTCCTCCGTAAAAGTGATTGATAAATTGTTAAAATGTTTTGGACTGTGCATTTAATCTATAGTGCATTATGGTTGCAAGATTGATAAATTAAACCAAATATGTTAAATCTCATATAAGATTGAAATATTAAACTTATAACCCGTTTATGTCAGAAAAGTTATCACTGATAAATGTTTGTATATGTTTCTGTATTAATATGTTTCTGTATTAATTGCAAGCTCAATTATAATGTTATTGTATGGATATAGCTGCACTCCAAGTAATCTCAAACAACATATCCGAGGCAATACCATACGAAGGAAGGCCATTAGATCGTTCCAAAGGAGATGGTAAACAGCGTGTCACTGAAGAAGGCTCCTCTTCGCAACCTGAAGATGCGAAAGGAAGAAGCACAAACCTTAGGGCCAAAGATATATCAGACCAATCAGCAGGAGAAGGTTCCATCATTGATTTTTCAAATATTAAGCCCGGTCTTGCTGCAGATGTTAAATTTGGCGGATGTGGTTCCTATCCAAATCTGCCTTGGGTATCCACCTCAGGTTCAGGTCCAAATGGCAGGACAATATCTGGTGTTACTTACCGATACAGCACTAACCAAGTTCGAATTGTCTGTGCATGCCATGGTTTCCACATGACCCCTGAGGAGTTTGTTCGCCATGCAAATGAAGACCAAGCAGCTGCAGAGGGCAACGGAGTTTTGGGGGCAGTAGCAAACGGCAATCCTGCTGCCCCTTCCCATGGCTAGTCTTGTACCGTCTAATTTGTACCTTAGTATTGAAGTTCCCAACAGGAGAATCAGGGAAATCGGGCTTTAATTTTTGTATAGATGAATGAGTTTCCTACCATTTTTCTGTACACACTTTGATAACTTGTTTGGCTATTCCTCTTTATTTACTTGTAGCCAATGCAATCAAGTTTGCACTTGTATGTAATAATGGGCCTGCTAGCATTATCTGTTCAAGGACGTAGCAGTTAGTAATGATTCCTTATCTAAACAACCTTAAGAATTGAAAGACTTATTTCGAATTCATTATTTGATGCTATTATACAGAATATTTTTTCGAAGTTTAATTTCACGACATTGTGGTTAAGATTAAACATTAATTTGAATGGTATATACTATTATTGTCATTGCTGCTGAAAGTAATGCTTCCTTTTCAATTATCGAACGTCAGACTTCCAGAAAATCTGCACCCACTTTCCTCTTCAACCAATGCTTTTGTCTTCCAAATTCCCCATTCTAGAAACGTGGCAAGCCCATTCAAAAGGGGCATGGGCAAAAATCAGTTCTAGATCACTCCATTTCTCGAGGGAATTAATGACCCTCCTGAACTGCCATTTCCCTTTGTTTTCCCCATGCTCAAACGGAGCCTCACTTGTCCCAGAGGATATAATAAGAGATGAAGAGTTTTTGTGGCAAATTCCATTTTTAGATAGGGAGCTTCAAATCTTTAAATATTCACCTAATTTTTCTTTTATTGTTGATATCATTTTGTTGCCATGGCAAACTTACAGTATTAGTTTCCTATCTAGTCATGTGTTTGAAAGTGTAGTAACACGTGATTCAACATGGATAATACCATATCTGAACTAAACTCTTACTTTAACTCTTTCTTCCTTATCTTGCTTATCTTGCAACATGTAATAAATAATAATCATCCAAATCTAGCAGTTCATTTTAAATCGAGAGCTTAAATATGGCATCATGCCAAAGGGCAATAATATCACCCTTTCTTTCGTGTTTACCACGTATCATTAGCATTATCTTTTCAGCTGCTGCTGTCACCACACAAGCATGGAAAAAAAAAAGCATTGCTTTGACCAAACGTGTTACATAACCTTCTACCTCTTTGCTACGAAGTCTAGCAACATCACAGCTTTTATTATGCAGCAGCAAGACAAGCATGTCCTTTATTGATTGCTTTATTATAATTGACTAAATCAAACTTGGAATATGTATAATAACATCTTTTTTCAACACTTTCTTTTTTAAGTTTCTTTTGCAGGGTCAGCGAAACTGATGCAGTTAACTTGGCCGCTATTAGTAAAATATAAGTACTGAGAGGAATATAACAGGTTGTTAGGAAGGTCAGTGAAGGATTCATGATCATCATTGAGCATTGATAATATTTAATTCCTCACAAAAGCTATATCAGTTTCATATTTTCAAACAGAACTGCGGATTTACAGTAGATGCAGACAGATCAGATTATCTTTTTCTTCTCAATCTAATTTTTCAAGTACTTTTATTTTGATAATGAGATCATAATAACTCTCTTAAAAAAACGTGTGGCATTTCTGGTGAGTTAAAATCCATGTCTTGAAGGTTTGCCAAAGCTGCAAGAGCAGCTGCAAAGGTAGATTAAACCTTGACTAATGGAATGTGATGTGATAACTACCTTTGACATTTTTTTTCCTGGTTTTCCAAGGCTATTACCCCACCATTTGGTCATGAAGGCATGGCCTAAACCCTCCTCACAAAATGACTTTTTTCTTCCCCTGAAGCACAGCTTTTACCTACCACTGTTCCCAATCCTTTGTGGGGTTTCCTACCTTTGACATTGTCAAATCCCATATGTAAATTTTGAAAAATAAACAATACATATATAGAAAGTGTAAATGTCTTATACGAAGTGATTTAATTACACAAATCATCCTATATAGTAAGTCTGTCATTTTTACTGTAAAAGTCATATCTAAGAAGATTTTCAACTAGTTTATATGGAATGCATATTAACCTTTCTTAAAAGACTAATGTACTGATTATTGAAAGATATGGACTCTTCATGTATCAGATTAAACAGTACTGACAAAACCAAAACGAGGTTAAGTTCAAATTTCAATTTCATACGCAAGGTGAGATTAAGGAGTAATATTCCATGTTATTACCAGCAAGGTGGCGTAAGGATTAAACAACAAAACTTTGTTTTGTCATACCATATGTCATTGAGACACACATACCAAGTCAGAAAAAGCCCAAGTTAAATACAATTGTAGGCCAACCCCACCACCTTGTGGTCACTACTGAGTCCCGAATATTTAATTGATATTTTAAATGAAGAATCAAGTTGAGACGCAAAACGTAACCTGAGAAGAAACCAAGAAAACTGACATAAGGAAAGGTTACCATTTGGGGGAGAATCATTGAATAATGTCCATGCACAACAACCCCATTATAAATTCATAAGCCTCCAACTCATCAATTGGAAACTTCTGCTGCAGAATGCATGAGGAAAACCAGAACCATGAATGAGCTTGGTGTTATCCTTTCTGTTCTCTCAGTCTTATTCCTCCATGTTAGAGCACAGACTGTTGCACCTTCAGGAGATGCTGTGTCCAATTTCCAACCAAGTCTTGCTGTTGTCATAGGAATCCTTGGTGTCATGTTTCTATTGACATTCTTTCTTCTCATGTATGCAAAATTCTGTCAACACCGCGGAGCTTCAGCTTCTCTTGGAGACCAAGAAAATCTACCAACTTTTGTGAGATCAAGGTCTAGATTTTCAGGAATTGACAAGACTGTCATTGAATCACTCCCCTTCTTTAGATTCTCTTCACTCAAAGGGTCAAAGGAAGGGCTGGAGTGTGCAGTGTGCTTATCAAAGTTTGAAGATGTCGAAGTTCTCAGACTTCTACCAAAGTGCAAGCATGCTTTTCATATTGATTGCATAGACCACTGGCTTGAAAGGCACTCTAGCTGTCCTATTTGCAGGCACAAGGTCAACCCTGACGACCACACTACCTTCACATATTCAAACAGTTTAAGGAGGCTAGCAAACCAATCAGGTCTAGGTGAAGAATCTAACTTAGAGATCTTTGTCCAGAGAGAGGAAGATCATAATGGTTCATCAAGATTCAGTGTTGGAAGCAGCTTTCGGAAAATGGGAAAGGGTGTCAAGGAAGAAGAATTGCTCATCCAAAAAGGAGCAGAAGATAGTGATGGTAACCAGAAGGGGTATCATAAACACAACCACATGATTACTATATCTGATGTTGTGTTCAAGCACAGGTGGAGCAACGTCAGTTCTTCAGACCTCATGTTTTTGAACTCGGAGATGCTGAATGCTACATCAAGCAACAGATTCAGCAACTTCGAATCAAATGCAGACCTGATGTCAACCCCAAGAGAGGTGGTAGAAAATGATCATATTAAGAACATCAAGGAGGAGATGGAGAGGAAGATTTCCTTCGAGAGCAAAGTTAGTGCTCTTAGCAACTTCAAATCAGTTTCAGAAAAGGATCCTCCTTTTACATCAGATTCTGCAGGAAAATCAAATCATACACCAAAGTATGCAAACCCAGGTGAGAAAAGGTCAATGTCAGAAATCACTGCTGTCTCTAGATTTGGAGATTTTGGCACGAAAATGAGGGTCTTCAAGGATTCTTCTTCTGTCCAAAACAACCTTAAAGAGGAAAAAATGAGACAGATTTGGTTTCCAATAGCTAAAAGAACAGCTCAATGGTTTGTGAATAGAGAAAGAAGGTCTCAGCTATCTCTGGATAAACAACTACCATTAGATGTATAACCAATGCAACCTTTCTGAGGTACACATGTTTGGTTTCAGTCCTTGTTCAACAACTTCGTATAGATGTCAGATTTTTTGTTGTTGAATAGTATACAGTTAAGCAAAGCAGGTACAGATTCCTTTTTTTCGTTTCAATCAATTCTTATGATCTGCATAAAAACTTAATCTTTCTATGGCAGAAAATTTAAGGAGCCCTCGTGAGCAGAGTAATCGAAACCCTTTTAAACTTAAAATTGTATCTTCTTTTTCAACTCATAATCAATTTTCTATTGATTTTCAACAAGAATAATAGAAGACAGCTTCATGCCGTTGTGCTCAATAATGCTGTGTATATGTGTGTCAGCCCTTTAATTTAAATATGTTCATCTTGGTCATATTTTATATCCCTTCCATTCTTTTTTTGCTAACATATAAACATTGCACATTATTAACAACTGAACTTATGCAACAAATGGCTGAATAACACCATGGTTTCATTAATCAAACCAGTTCTTTCTATTCCACCCTGAAGGTTGGAAAAAATAGTTTTTTTTTTTTTTAAATGTGAATCAAACTAAACTTGACTTATCTTAAATCAATTCGAATTTAATCATAATAATAATCTTTTATATTTTTTCATCACTTTTTCATTATAATTATTTACTATTTTTAATAATGTAGTTTCACATTTTGATTTTTTTTCAAAGACTAGAATGTTTTTTTAATGTTTGAATGCTTTGAATGATTAATTTATTTGGTTGTCCAATTATATATAGGCAGACAATTTGATTTTCACTTATCATCTTTATAATAATAACTGATAAAATAAGTAAATAATTTAATTTTATGATAGATGAGTTTAGTCAATCTATTCTCATTATACCACAATAAATATATAAAATAAATTGGAAAAATAAAATATGTTTAAGTAAATCAACCTATATAACTCATCAAATAGGTAATGAACAAAGCTATAAAATTTATTGATTACCAAAAAATTGTTCGAGTGGATTGTTTCAATTTTAACTCAACTTGTGTGAGCTTCACATCTCTACTTTTTTTTGTAAGTACTTTTATCAAACAAGAGGAGAAAATGGATCGATCCCAAAAGTTGAAAGATTTAAAGTACTGATATTTGATTAAGCAAATTCATCAGTCATTACATATCTCTTCTCTTCAATTTTTTCTAGGATCAAATCTAACAAGTAATAACCAGTGGAAAATTGCCAATTAACCAATTTGGGTCAAGTCAATCAATAGAAAAACAGAAAAAGAGAAGTCTGCAATTTTTGTGATCAGGTTGAATAATTGGCCATAATATGCATAACCCGAAGAAGCTTTTCAAAATAAGAGGTAGTTTTTGTCAGTTTCTTGTGTGTGAAGTGTGCATATTAATTCATGGCTAAAGAGAGGCAATACAACACGCAAAAAATAAACCCTATTCTACTGTCTTGAAGCCCAAATGAAGGATGCCATTGCCAAAATGTGACCTCAGTAACAGACTAACTCTGTCTGCTATGGCAATAGTTTAGTATTAAGCAGATCCAAAGTCGGCTAGGTGCTACATAGACAAGGTGCTTACATGCTGCATAAAAACTTATTTTAAGAGTATTTTATGTACCATGTTAACATTAAGTATTGTTACATTTGTCAGTGTAGTTTTACATTGGTCACATTTTTTTAGGGGGTAGGTCTCCTTGTCGTTGTCAGATTAAAATATTTTGGTTTGGATTATGGGGGAAAGCTATTGAATATAAACAAAGTTGAAAACATGTAATTAATACATTATCATGACGTTAGTGGCTATGCTACCAATTTCAATGCTAAAGTACATTTTATTTCCTTTTCCCCTACTTTTTCTCTTAATAATGAGGCTTATTTTTATTTTATTTTCAAGAAAATATGTATTTTGAATGTTGATGTGAAAGATCACTCACTTTGAATTGCCACCATCACCTAGTATATTAGAAGAAAGGAGATAAGTACTAAAATGAACTTGCATTTGCATGAAAGAAAAGCAGTTGGAGTATGTTACTGAAAATTGGAAGGACTTCTTTAATTCATGGGACAACTTTGGATCAGTCTACCGTAACACTGGGTTGCTATATTGTTACTACTGACTGAAAAAATATTTGTCACTGTGTTGCTTTGCTAAACATATTAAACCAACAATAAAACTATATATATCATGAATTTTTCTTCTATAAATACTTAAACGATCAAATGAATAAATCACGTTTATCAAAATGATAAATCAAATGAGAATGGTGTTAGAAAGAGAAATTGTCCCCAAATTTGATGTGAACGCAACAAAAATTGCGTGAGAACAAAAATAAGTTTCCCTTTTATGTGTTGGTATGAATTTCGGTCAATGACAAAACTAACTTGCTTGAATTGCAATTGACTGAATTCAAATTCAATCATTTACACTTTTATATAATATTTACAGGGGAAGGGAATTACCCCTAAAAAAATTTAGAAAAGGGAAGAAGAGATGGAGAAGATAATAAACCTAGTCTACCCAGTCTGCAACTAAGATTCAAACTATAGGGAATATTTTGCATCTGTTGCGCTGTTCACATTTTCTGGTTAACTGCATTCTTGGATTGCAATTTGTCCAGATAAGCAATGGTAAATATTGGTGGAGTGCCAAACTTCAAAAAGAAAACAAAAAGTAATGGTCATCCTTCTACCAGTCCTCAAGCCACTCAGGCACATTAAGTTCTTCTACCTCCTGCAAAGGCGATCCCGGATAGAGAGTACTACAATCCTCAGAATGAACTTCCAAGTACTGTGTTATACGAGAAATAATTTCCTGAGGAACAGGAAAAGTGCGGCTTCTAATCCCTTCCCAATCAATACCCTTAAACCATGGGTGACTCTTGACAGAATCAGGACCTTGGCTTCCAAGTCTATTGTTTTCTTCCACTTCAAGTAGCTGAACCAATCAGTCAAATAAAATCCAATTAGAGAAAGTATGCATGGATGTTCCCAATGATGCATTGCGTATGTTTCAAGCAATGCAAACTACGTAGACTATCTTTAGAGAAAGAGAGTCTTGGTTCTTGCAATACCTTGGAGATAAGATCAACCGTTTCAGAGCTGAAACTCTCGGGAAGGTGTAGCTTCCTTTTTGCAATTTTGGCAACTGTATCAAGTTCATTTTCTCTCCATGATCCAAATGGCATCTCACCACGTAACATAAAATATATTAAAACCCCCAATGCCCACCTGCATAATCACAAGAAAACTTTGCCACCTTAACATCCATAAAATGCAATCAAGAACCATGCATTAAAAACTTTTCAATCCAATTTGGTGTAATGAAAGCCAGTTGTAACTACAATCTTATTGATTACAATTCAAAGAAAGCTTTAATTATACACTCAGTAAATGCTATGCTAATTTAGGTTTCTTGATATTGAGGAAATAAAGACAGAAGCTTGCTACTGACGAGGACTTGTGTAGTTTAACGAGAATTAATGTGTTTGGACAAGGTTTTATTTATACCAGTCGGCAGGGAAACCATGGCCTTTTCCCAAAACAATCTCTGGAGCCAGAGAATCTGCCATCCCACAAATTGTGAATGTTCTCTCGCCAGAAAGCTGTTTTCCAAATCTGAAGTCGACCAGCTGCAATCAGTGCATACACCAAAATAATTAATCGATACTGCTATATTATGAATAACTGTTTATACATATCCCTGTATCAGGATTAATACCCTTCTAAAGGATTAATACCCCCAAAATACGTTACTACACATGATAATTGATTACTTCTATCCATGAAACAACACCGATCACATCAAAGGTTAAGAGCTGAAGGTATGTATTAATGGTATCTTATATTTCACTATGAATGTTTTACATGATAATTAAGAAGTAGGTTTATTTCATTTTATACTTATACTGTATTATAACTAAGTTTCCTTCAACTCAAATGTTTAAAAGACTCTAACTAGACTTTATTCTGGGTCACACTTGCATTAAAATCTTGGTATCACCTCTGATTGCATTTATATTACAGTCAGGGAATTGTGAAGATTTTAGTTTGACATGTTAGAGAACATTTGAATTATCTTCATAATTAATGATGAGGTGTTAGATCTGTTGTATCTATATTATGCATATTTTTAGTCTTTAACGTCATCCATCGTTTACCGCGATGTCATCTGCCATAACTATAGAAGATTTACCATCAATACAACTGATAAGCATGGATTTGTTGAAAAGCAATCAAACAAAAGTTCCCAAACCTGTATCTGTCCTGTTTGTTCCAACATCAAAACATCAGGTGACACACCTCTGTAGAGAACACCATTCTGAAATTCAAGTATGAAATGAATAAAGGAAAGGGCAACTTAGCGACTAGCCAAAGAAGGCACAAAAAGCAAAGACAATAATTATTTAGATACAAGACCTTGTGCAAGTCTTCTAAAGCAGTGACAACAGATGCAGCACAAAACCGTGCGGCTGATTCACTAAAAGGACTTGAAAGTATGGAAGACAAAGGGCAAGCAAGGTGAGTATTTAGCAGTATTCCAACATACATGCGATCAGCACAAGTGCATAAAACCTGTGGTATACTAACTGAAGAGCCCAAACCCTTAATCAAATCTTTCTCTTTCAAGACCTGTGATTCCTTTCCAAGCCTTTTGATCTTTGGCTTAGAAAATCTCTTTAAAGTAAGCAAATTTTCTGCACCAAAATGTATTCATGCAGAAAATTTCATTAGAAAAAGAAATCCAGCATAGACATTTTTTATCACTATGGAATACATTTAAAGGCTATTAATCAATGTAGGAAAAGGAAACCAAGATACCTATGAAGAAAAAAGTCACAATTTTAAGAAAATATTTATATTTTGGCAACTAAAACATTAGGCTTACATCCACTTAGTCCTTTTTCAAATATTTTTCACATCCATTAACTACATCATTCTTCAAATTTGATTAATTAAGAAGGGAACAAATCCTCCAAAGATTTGGTAGGTTTATATCAAGTTCATCTACAAAAGGACTTGATTGAATCAAATTTGGAAATTGATTGTTGATCACTTGATGAATTAAATTTATGAAAGTCCATTATTTCCAGGATCAAATAATTCTATAGTTATTTTTCATGCAGGAATAGGAGAAATGTTTTTGTACCTGATTCCTTTAAATTTGCAACCCCTATTTCGGAACAGTCGGTGGAATATAGTGTCTTTCTCCACTCCTGCCAAAAAATGGTCCATAAGCTAATTTGAGGATCTCATTTCCAAAAAATTGAATGCAACAGAAAACTCTTACCAAATCTGAAAGCTGGACTTTATCAAGGGATGAAAAATCATAATTTCTTCCAGTCAACTCCATGGAATTATCCTTTGACCTATGATGAAACTAATGGTATCAATTATATGAAACTTTG